TTCATATTTTTTAAAGTTTTATCTTAGTTTATTAATTTCATGATTAATGATTTGTATTAATACGACTCCTTAATCGAAAGGATAACTGCCCGTTAACGCAAAATCCTCGGCAACTCGATCAAGATGGTGATGGCTATGGCGATAGCTGTGACAATTGTCCACTTATCTTCAACAAGCATCAGCTCGATGCTGATCTAGATGGCACTGGAGATCTTTGCGATTCTGATGCTGACAATGACGGTATGTATGGCTATTTCTGCCAAATATTCTTCCGGGATGTAAACAACATCTTTGCAGAGCTATTCTCTCTTGAGATGTTGGAACACTGTCGTATCGGAGACACATTTGGTGCAAATCGAATAATGAGATTTTCTCATCAATGACTGGTGAAATTGAATATAGGCAAATCCTGTAGTGGTAAGAAAACTTAAGGAAGCTATGAGCCATTTTCAAATGAAGAGTATAAACAACCCTTGAAATTTACCTGAATGTCTGGCCAGTGCAACGTCGTCAATTGTCCTAGACACGGAATTTGAAAGAATCTCATTTGTGACCCTAGTTGACTAATGATCAATTGCCCTTGTCTCTTTTGACATTTTGATTTCAAAGACAGTTCGATGATGAGAATCTCCTTTGGTTTTAATTTTCTTAAACAGCTATTAACTTCAGTATTCTGTTGAGGCTAGATCTGTTTCAAAGAGAAGCAAAACGTTTGCTATGTTAAGGCCAGGGGCGGATTCAGGGTGTCGCACAGGTCGCACGGAAGACCGTCAGATTTTCAGAATTTATTTTAGTCTTCAGTCATTGAAATAAGGCAATCATGTTTACCACAATCTTTTATTTTCCTCCTTAAAGATAATACATTTTGCTCTCTTTACACAATAAACACAGAACCGAACTTGGTCGATCTCACACACAAAGCTACGATTTAATTCAATAAAGAAAATATTCCAATACCATCCTAGACCGTAAACAGTATGATTTTTAAGCATGTCGCCCGTGCCGCACAAATATGCAGGGCTCTTTGTTATGCAAATGTTTTACCAAATCTCACCAATCAAAATTCAAGTTTTCACATATTTGTGCGGCACGAAAAGTCTGTAAACACTATGTTAGATTACTGTGCCGCACAACTGCTGGCAAGGGAAGAAAGTGGATGAGGTTGTAAGTTGTGAAAGGGAGGAGTCCCAATTTTCTTTATCTATACGGAAGAGGTGCACAGGAAGTGAACACTTCTGAATCTCAAGATATTTTGTTTCAACTGCGTGTTGGATTTGCTGGAAAATTTGGAAAACCTTTTAGAGGGAAAAATGTTTGACTGAACAATTTGAAGGTTTCAGGGCCCAGTCCTAAGTGCTATGGTTCTGGGGGGGGGGGGGCTCTGCCCTTGATCATGAGGGAGGCCCCCTAGACCGCCTGCTGGGCAGTGTCAATGTGCGACCGTCAACTTTTATTCTGTATCCGCCCCTGTTAAGGCCTATCTCAGTAGATTAAGGAATCTGAGTTATAAAGAAGTTAAATGGATAAAAAACCAAGCTACATAGAAATCACATTAAACACGGAGATCAAAAATAATTTTTGGCTAGCTAGAGACATCCTATGGTCTTTGATAGGATGTCCCAGCCTATTTGTTTGTCACAGTCTTCAACTGTTTATTCCTTGAGGCCTTCAATGAAAAATAAACTGTTTTTTTTTATACAGGAATTCAGAATATTTTAGACAACTGCCCACTTGTTCCAAATTATGATCAGAAAGACACAGACAAAGATAATTATGGCGATGCATGTGACAACTGCGTGGACACGCCAAATGAAGACCAGGTAAACCTTTTTGCTATCCATACCGTGCTAAGACCACTGTAGCAAAACTGTTCTACAGGCTACGAAAGGAGACTCGAGATGTCGCTAATAAAGCGAAAATGATAAAGAACCTCCGCAACAAACGGAGAGTAAACAAAAACGACAAGAACAATTTTGCTAAGAAATTAAACCTCGTCCTGGTTTGCAGCTCTCCGTCCGGCCTTCGGTGTTTAAACTCAATTTCAATGACTTATTTATGATTTTGTAATTGATTTATACGTTTTCCTTGCGCGCATTCGGTGTTGATTCTAGTTTGCCTTGAGATAGTAAGCCTTAATTATATTGTGTGGGAAGGAATAACCGCAGGATAGGCTGTGCGCCGGATTCTGTGAATCTTGCAATGAGTATAATACAAGTACGAGGATAAAATTCAGAAACAAAGCAAAACAGCGACGAGAATCCAATGTTGTGAGATAAATTTTCCAAAATAAATTGAATTAAGCGAATACTAATATTTCGCCCCAGCATTCAGGGCTTCATCAGATCTGCCTCAATTCACATCCTTTGCATACATACATTGTCATGATTAGGAGATATTGGTAAGGAGGAAGTAGAGAGACGGCTATATATCATTATATAGATTTTGTGCTCCTTGTACAAAAGTCATTGCATGAATACATAACGAGGTTAGGTTTCTGTTTGCAATTCTCAGCAAAACAGAATCTGAAGTTGCATAGCGAGAAATTTAACAAACTTGTTCTTCTTGTTGGCGGCATGATTTTATACTTTGACAAAAATAACATATGAAAACTTTCTGACCTGAATTTATCTGAAAACACAATAGAATTGAACAAGTGTAAACCAAAATTTTTAATAAGAACAAATTTTGACTGTATTTAGAAGAATAAAACAATCAGAAATCAATGCTTAATTGATTTATCTTAGTTATTCGACGTCAAGGTTTAGTTTTTGACCTCTAAACTCAAGTGTGACTTTCAAAGGACTACATGATACCAAAAACAAAAGCAAAGCCCCAACACATCATCACAAAAACAGTAAAACCTGGTGTTTCATTTTTTACATCAAAAAATTTCAAAGATTAGCACACTAGATTAGTCAAATGGTCTTTTCATTCATTCTCACAGAAAGATGCGGATTCTGATGGGCGTGGAGATTCATGTGACAGCAACATTGACACGTGAGTTTCAGCAAACATTTTCTACAACTTCAAAATTACACCTTTCTTTGTTAACAGTAATAAAATGCCTTACTTATCCTAACTACCTTCTTCAAACTGACAAAGTTGCAGAAAAGCAATTGTAGTGACAACCAAGTATAATGGAACTCCTCTTTGTTACTGAACTTCCTATACATAAAATTAAATTGAAGTTGACCAGAATACATATTCGATAATTTTGTTGAAGTAGCTCTTTGCAAATTAATTATATAATTTAAAATTCTGCAAGGACAAATACACACAACTTTCTAACTTCTTAAAAGCTGTAGCATTGCCAGAATATTACTATGCCTACCTCGTAACATACAGAAATCTCGTAGCGGAAAATTCTAGCGAAAATAATGACATCGCCAAATATCTCAAAAATTTGTTCGATTACAGAATGATTATTGTCAATTACTTTAATAACAAAGTTTTAATTTTGGTATTTGACGTTTGACGTTTCTATTAACTGTTTTTCTCTTTATTCTATTTGTAAAATTTATTTATTTATTTAACGAATGTCGTTATTTATTTAACATGTCACTATTTTTATCATAATATGTGTATCGATTGACTTGTTTACTAAATTTTGTGCTTGGCTTTCGTATTCTCTTTGAAATTGCAATATCTTCTTGATACTATCTGCAAGCAGCTTTTTTTCTTGATGTCCACATCGCAATCTTTGAAATTGCATTAATGTTACGTTGCCTTAAAAAACCAGTTTCTAAACTTGGTCTAATTACATTTCCTGCAGTGATAAAGATGGCGTCCCTGACATAGAAGACAACTGCAAATTCCTTGATAATGCTGATCAACTCGACAGCGACAACGACAAAATCGGTAGGCCAAAACATCTTGCTCTTTAAAATTATTTCCTGCTATTCGAGACTATGTTTAAACCATCATAATATGTTCGCCAAAATAAGATTACATTCACAGAGGTTGTGCGTTACAATGTGGGCCTTTGGCTGCATCCTTTATTTTTCAGTAAGATACTTTGTTGATAGGTTATAGCAATATTTATTGTATAATGCTTCAAAAATTTTGTTCCTAAGAACCAATCTTCTGTTTTAAAACAGACATCAATGCAAATTTCAACCCATGCAGATCGCAACAAGTCTTCGGCCTAAAAAAGGGAGCAAAGTGCTGCCAAAAATGCATAATTGCATGCTTAGAATCCCAGACATGTTGTGAGAAACAAGCAAGAGCGACTCCTGGAACGATTGAATCTTTGATAATCTAGCATTTGTCGCAACATTCGACCACTTTTCTGTACTTGTGACAACTTTGAGCCTTCTTTGGAATGTCTGTAATGTTCACATAGCACAATAGAATGACCAAATAATTTCGTTGGCAGACCTTTAGCAAATTTGCGCTTCCTATACTTGGGTGCAAAGCTTCCAATATAGAATGATACGTGTATAAATTGGACGATAACACAATTTTCCTCTTTCAAACACTTTTGTTAAGTTTTAGGTTTTGGTACAACAATGTAGAAAATCAGAGGCATCGTAGCATGTTGTTTTTCATTCTTGACTCACTTTGTAGGTGATGCATGTGACAACGACAGTGACAATGATGGAATTGAAGACTCGTATGATAATTGTCCGTTGATTTTCAACCCAGCACAACTTGACACTGATGGTAAGTGCTCTTTTGAAGCACGATTGGTTGAATCGGCTGAAAGCCAAGTTATCAATTGGTTAAAGCTCTGATAGCAAATCTATGCTATTCAAGTTTTAATGTCAATTATATTGCAATTGTAAAAGAATTCAGAAATTGCAAAGATAAATTATCGGGATATGCACTTCTTAAGTAAAGTGAAGCCTAAACATTTAGCATTCTAAATTTTACGTCTAGCAATTTTAGCTGCAGCAGTCGGAGGGCTTGGAATTTTGCAATGCTGCACATTGGAATATTTGAACTCAAGGTTTTTAGATAACAGTAGTTCTAGAACAAAGTCATATTTTATCTATTGTTGGTTAGTCCAAAAGAACTTGAATAATATTTAAGATTTTTGTATTTTTAGGTGACGGAAGAGGCGATCTTTGTGCTGAAGACTTTGACGGTGACACAATCAAAGATTATCTAGACGATTGTCCAGCTAACAGAAACCTGACAGTGTTAGACTTCAGGTCTCTTATTTTGATTCCGTTGGATCCAATTGGTTCTTCTCAAAAAGACCCTAAATGGACAATCAGAAACAAGGTAACGATAGATTTGTGAAATTCTGAAAATTCCCAAACAAGGAGTTTATTACAAGTTTCAAGTTCTGTTTCTTGCAGTAAAAAATGTGATGTTTGACTGCACTCAGCATCATTGCAAGACGAAATTCCAATTCAGTTAGACTCAATCACAATTCGAGTCAGAAGACTGAATCGACTTAGATAGGTTAATAAAGTAACATATTTTTATCAGCAAAATTTTCATGCTTCACAC